AATTAATAAATGTCATGACGTCATGTGTGACGCAATGACACAGGGATCCCAGTTGGAGTTGTCTGATTTCCGGTTAGAAAGAATATCACATGACAGGAAGGTTGCGGATTGAACTTCCGGTGTTCCAAACGCGACATGACACACAGATAGATTGGCAAAAAGGTAAAACTAAAGTCGGCCTAGCCTATGGCTAGCCCGACTAATAAAAAGATTATGCATTATGATTATCAAGGGAGATTGCCGCAAAAACAAAGAAATGTGGCTTTTAATCCCATCAAGGGATTGAACGAAAGATCTTGTGTTGTACTGTTTAATTTGGTCAAGGAAAGTAAAAAAAACGAGTAAAATAACCAAAACGGCAGCAAAGGACCCCAGATGGCTAGAGGGGGAGGGTGAAGGCCTTTTGTTTTATGCGCCTAATGATTAGCGATGAGCCAAGATGAGATGAAAATAACCTCTGAGCAGGAGCAGCCTTAGTCCAGAACTGAACCCGCTTTTCTCAATAACTATGTATAAAAGCTAGGGAATATTACATTAATGCGCGCTCGAGTTCTCTCGAGTTCAATGGGTTTTCTGTGTCTAGGACCCAGGCCTCTCCGCTAGTATAACATGGCAGCTGTTCTGGACATTTGTCGTTTCTAGGTGATCGACCTTAAAAACTTTATGAATCTTGATGAAGAGCCAATAGAATGCAACCACATCACTGAATTCACGGAAATGTACAATTCAGTAATAATCTTATGCTCCTACAATGTAATCACACGAACAAAACAAGTTTTAGCTTGAAGTTCAAAGACACGTGTATCTGATTCTAAGATTCATTCAGGTGAGCATTATTCGTTTCTTGAAGCATATTTTAAGCTGTCATTGTTGGATGATCCTGATTTGTAAACCATCGTTTACCATAAACTGCTCAGTTACAATTGAATCAAAGCACTCGCTGCTTTGGCTGTCGTTCACTTTATGGTCATTAGCTTTACTCAAACTAAGTTAAGCTTATTTTCATTGCAAGGGGGAAAAATTAGCAAATTTAGAACGTGTCAGGTAGAATATCAGGTATCATTTCGCACAGTTGAGATCTTTTTTTTTGGAGGGGGATTTTCGAAGTGTTCATAAGTTTATAGCTTTAAAAAAAACAGTTTAGCATATTATCATTCTGAGTTTTCTAATAACAACTCTTGAGAAATTTCATTTACAATTAAAGTGAATCCATTTGTAGCAGAGCCGAGCAGTCGTCTAAAAGGGGTAGTTAGAGAGGATTTTTTATTTATTACACTTTAGAGGTAGTGTAAAGTTTTAAATTAATACTATTCACAAACTAAACACCTGACCCCATCCTGACCCCGTCCTGACCCAGTCCTGACTCTGTCTCTTCGGTAGAACTTTCTCTACTTTTTTTTCTCTACATTTTTTTATAACTAAACGACCATCAAAATACAAAATAGAATGTTTTCTGATATAATCACTTTGGAGGTGAAATTTTCTGGTTAATTTTAAGGCTTCATCTATGCTGTTTCTTACAGAAAATGAAGACAATCAATTCACCAAATAATATTCTGCACCAAATCATTAGCTATCTGCTAACACCATGTGATCCTTCAAACTTAGGAGTATTTCGATTCTTCTTTGGTAAGTGTTTAATATAATAAGAGTGAACGACATCTACATCAGTAGTTTACAATACATTAAGTAGTTTACAATACTCGTTACTTTATAAATGTTGATTATTTGTATTCAATTGTTATAAAATATGATCTTGTGTCAGTGCAATGTTGTTTTGTTCAATTCATGTGCTGCCATTTTATTGGTATACACACGCTTTCATGACATGACCATGTTATGCTGTTGACTTTATCCTTTCTCTGTATTTAAACAATTAATAATAATTTTACAATACAATATCGTAAACAGCATCTAAAATGCATTGTTTGGTAATAAAAAAATGAAGTAAATTCATATATAAATACATCTGCATATCGATATAGGAATTCAATCATTTACAGGTTTATTGGTCTCATAAGAATTCATTTTTGTAGTCTCTACTATTGATGCTAAAGAAATTTGCTGTTCTTTAAGGACCATTCATTTTTTATCAGGGAGGGGGGGTCAGTGGAATTCCCATAAACTTCTCACACAAAAATCCTGCCCCCCCTCTATGCAGCTGCAAAAAAACCAGAACCCCCCTTTCCATCACAAAACTTGGGGAAATGTGAATCGGCAGTAGTTTGATGAACTTTCAACAACTCCTCAACTCGATCCTTATATTGCATATGGGGTAGATTTTTAAATTTTGAAATCTCAGACTCAAAAACACCTTAAAATTAAGTAATAGATGGCTTCCTCGGGAGATTAGGGATTAAATGTCCCCGAAGCCGAGGGCAGATAAGTTGAAGTCCCAACGGCCGCTAATCTACCGAGGAAGCCGTGTTATTACTTTGTAATACCATGATTTCCGCAGGCCGGAGGGACTTTTACTTATCTGCCCGAGGCTGAGGGACATTTAATCCCTAATCTCCTGAGGAAGGCATGCTATTACTTTGTAATACCATGATTTCCGAGGAAAAAATTGAAGTTGAAAATGAGCGAATTTGAATTCTTGTTTTTCTGCATGCTCCAATGTTTTCAATCAGAAGTAATATAAACATTGCACCAAAAATTCATGCATGAATTGGAATGTGACATGAACAACAGTACAAAATGATATTGGTAATCCGACCATTGTTACTGATTTCCCACAACGAACTTTTAAACAATTGCTTTTCAGTTCTATTCAATGCTGAAGTTAACAAATCTTAACTTCAACCCCAAAAAGTTGTTTTTATATTTGCAAGTGTAATGCCAAGAAGCTTATCAACTTTTATCAAACATTGAAATTCGTCAAGTGCACAGGCTCACCGGTGAGAAGTAGTGACTCGGAACCAGAGCTGCTCGGTCAATTTGGCCCAAAAATCATCCCACATGAGAGCTGCTTACTGGTAATCGTCCCTCATGCTATTCATGAGGGAGGGATGTTCCCTTGTAAACATCCCTCGGAAGACAAAAGAATCCGAGGTGATCATGGTATTATCAAAAATAAATTGGTGTCATAAAGGGCTAAACCTTTAGAAAATAAAAAAATCAGAGTTTCCATTCTACTTGTGAATCTCCCAGACCGACAACTTGCTACTTTGGGTTCATCTCTGGCTTCATCTTGCCCTATTATGGCAAGCACCATATCTTCATCTACTTCCTATTCACTCTGCACTTCTTCCAATTATTGAATTGAAGCCATTGAATCTTAGTTTTTTTATCAAAAAAGTGTAAAGAATAAGGCAAAATTAATCTCACAGCATATTTCTAACATTTTTAAACAAAAATGCAATGTAAAAGATGCACCTGAATGGACCCATTTCATTATATAGTTCGGTTCAGTTCTCGTCTTTCTAATTTAAGGTATTTTGCTAGTATGATATGTACTTATAGTTGAATGCCCGAAAAAAACAGCCTGAATGCATATACTGAGCTGATATATAAAACACGATTCTTTATATTTTCTAGAGCATTTTTTTCCTGACCCCACTATGGACTCCAAAAATGTTTTTGGTCCCCCCTCACAGGGCCTGTTTTATTTTTCTGAAACCCTCCACCCCCATAAATTCCACCGACCCCCTCTCCCTGATACAAAATGAACTGTCCCTCAGTAAATGTTGTTGCAACTTTAAGCATTCCTTTACCTTCTGATCTCAAGTAATGGTAATTGTAGGTTTGAGGGAACAGATTGTTTAGTTATATGTGAATGTTCCTAATTTCTTTCTTATTTGAGTGCAGCAATATAATCTGTTATTTGGTTTGCTCAAAGGTTTGCTGATGGTCATCGATATCCCACAAGAGAGAGGCTTTGCTCATATTGATGAGAAGTGGGAAGAAGGCATGTGCTACTTCACACTTTTCAACTTTTTAAAGCCGATGTCCTATGAGTGGATGCATGTGCTGTACACAGTGATGTTTCTTGCAGCGTTCAGTGTCATGATTGGTTTTCTTTATCGCATCAGCTGTTTCACGCTAATGACATGTTATTGGTACATATTCTTCCTGGACAAAGGAGTATGGAACAACCATTCATATTTGTATGGTGTCATCTCAGTGATGCTGCTCATGACTGACTGCAACCGTTACTGGTAAGTCATAGTAAAAACATTTTATGCTCAAACTTACATGTTCATAAATGGTGAAGTCAAATTGTGTTCTGCAGATGCCCTTATAGTGATATTATCTTTTATTTCGTGCATAATCATAATAAATGTCATGTCCATCAATTTCAGGTCTGTTGATGGATTGCTCTTTTCAAGTATTCGAAATAGTCACATTCCAAAGTGGAATTACTTTATCTTTAAATTTCAGGTATGGGTATTATATAGCTTATAATATGGTTGAATAAAATTGTGCAATTTGATTGGCTTAGAGGAGTGGTATTTATCCTTAATAGTGGTATTTCAAATTGCACAATTTTATTCAACCATTTTTGTAGTGGTATTTGTGATAAATACCAAAGTGATATTTCAAAATTGTCAAACAAAATTTCACAAGCAAAGAATTTAGAATTAAAGTATTGCAGTCATATAACAGCTTTAGGAAGATGATCGTTGTTCTATTACATGCTATGATCTTGTTAATCATTTTGTTTTTTACAAACAATATTATTGCTCCTCACTAACTCCTTCTTTCCAGGCGTATTTGTCCTTTCCTAATCTTCACCAAAATATTGAAAAATGTTGCAATTCATAGTTAGCTCCTGTTATCTTAATTGTCCAATCATTCATTTGCTGGTTTGTCTGCTTGCTTATTCTCTCATTTCATTGTTTCAGGTTGTATTGGTTTATTTCTATGCGGGAATCAAGAAATTGGATCATGATTGGATGACTGGATATTCCATGACTGGATTGGCAAACAAGTGGGTTTTCGATCCCTTCCGCCCATTCATGTCCAATGAAAACATTGATTTCTACCTTGTCCACATTTCTGGTCTGTGTTACGATCTCTTTGTTGGCTTTTTCTTACTTTTTGAGAAAACACGACTTGTTGGAGTCACATTTTCTCTGATGTTTCATGGCATGAATTCCCAAATGTTTTCCATTGGCATGTTTCCCTATACAATGATGGCATCCTTAACTTTGTTTTATTCTGAAAAGTGGCCTAAAACGTTGCTGTCACGGTTTCCCGGGTGTTTTTCATTTGCGATGCCACTTCTAAGAGAAGCTCAATCTAGTAGTCAYTGCGTTTACACTGATGAAGCGGAAGTTACAGCGAAGAAGGATAACGAAGAAACTACAACAAGAAATACTGGAGCTAAGTCATCGGGTAGTCATGTGAAGTGGAGTCACAAGTTGATGTTGATGCTGTTTGGTTTCCATGTTGCGATTCAGTGCTTTCTTCCTTATTCTCATTTCCTAACCAAGGTATGCACGGATTATAATGAAATGAATTGTAAACAAAACTAAAATAGTCTTTGATTTCCTTGTTGCGGTACCCGAGTTTCTGCCATCACATGTGAAATTCACTATGGAGTGCGTTTGCGTGAAGCCTCGTTTCACAGCCGTCTAAACAAGGATAAAATTCAAAGGCTATAATTTAACACATGTGAAATCGAGCGTTTTCTTATCATCATTCGGGGTGTTCGTGAGAAATCTCGTTTCACTGGATAAAAACAAAATTCAAAGATTATTATTATACCGGCTGCTGTCTCAATAAAGCATTTATCGTAATGGAAAACATGGTGTGTGTGAACTGATATTGTTTAGGACAAAGTAAAAGTTTAACCTTTTTTTCACTGATTGTTCGTCAGGGCTACAATGGATGGACCGAGGGACTATATGGGTACTCGTGGGACATGATGGTCCATAGCTGGAGCACACAGCATATCCGTGTCAAAGTAGTAGACCAATCTGATGGTAAAGAAGTATTTATACGACCTGGGGTGAGTTAATGACAGCAGCAGAACATTTTGATACATCAATGAGCTGTTTTACTCTCCTTGTACCATGATGTTCTCCATCCTTGGGTTCCCTGTGTGTGGGGAGAATGGAACGAGAAACGGCGCCTGCGGAGGAGGGTATGACGGATCTTAATTATTGTTTGTTTGTTTGTTTAAGGTATTTATTGCCGGTGGTAGAAGATCTCACTCAAGGTGGAGTTCCCACCCTGACATGATTAAGCAATACACAGCATGCTTGGCTGAGAAATTGAAAAACCACCAAGACATTAACATCAGTGAGCCAGCGATATACCTAGACATATGGCGATCTCTAAATCAACGATTTCAACAGCGCTTTGTCGATCCCAATGTCAACCTCGTGGAAGCGCCTTGGTCACCGTTTGCGCATTCTCCATGGGTGTTGCCTTTGCTTACAGACTTGACGCCGTGGAGAGAAAAAATGAAAGAGATTGAACAGAAGAGATTAAATACATCAATGGGCAATTTTACTGAGATTGTATTTGTTGCAGACTTTCCAGGTTTAATGCTGGAGAATTTCGTCAGCGAAGAACTGAACACGACATTAACTGTTCTACAAGGTCGAGTAAATGTAGAAGTCGATAACGCAAACCAAACTCTTGGTGAAGGAGAGGAAATCACAGTGCCGTCCAATGCGTCACATGTTGTGTACACAGTGTCTGATACTCCAGCATGTTGGATGTATGTGTATCTCAATACCACTGTATTTAATAATGAAACACTAAGACAGTGGGTCATGCATCCTGGTGAGTATTTTTATCCGATATCATTATGTATGATGTAATGATGCTGATAATGATATGTCAATTATCGTAATGATCATGATGATATAGTATGATAAGATCAGCTGTGTGACGTTTTTAGGGGAGCAGAGAAGGAAGAGGGCTTTCCACTACCCTCGAGCCGCCACGCAAGTGAGGCAATTACTATAGCTCATAATTTGCTAAGAAATCAAATTATTCCGCAGAAACACGCCCATCGTCTAGAGAAAAGGAACAACTAAAGAAGAAGTCTCTTTTTGACCGGTTTATGGAATTTATGGTTAACAAATATATGATATTTTACGTAACTTTTTGGAACTCGTACCACGCAATTGGTCACTTAACTGTCGGGTTAGAATATCCGTGGGAACATGCAGAGCATAACGAGCAACCAGATGAGAGTAGTTTACCAAGTGAATCTGTGTCAGAAGGTCAAGACATGGAGCACAGAACCGAAAACACTACAATACATGAACCAGATTATGTACAGAAGGAAACTCTTAAAAGCGAACTGTGATCATATAAAATACAGCTAAATATTATGTATATATGGAGAAAAATATTGAGTACTAGTGTAATGTTAAAAGCATGTTATTATTTCTGGATACTGGATTTTTTCAGGATACTGTGTTTGCAACTATGAAATAAAAGTAAACCGACAGCTGAGCAGACGGTTGTCAGCAGGTATCATTCAATCCCCTTATTCTCATAACGAACTTCGTCAAATGAGAGAACTTGACTGATTGCATCAGACTACCTAAACGTTCGTCAAAAAAGGCTTTCTCTATAGAAAATGAATACTATTATACGTTTTGTGTTCATATGCCATATATGGAAATACAGTTTCATCTTTAGCAAAGCAATAATGACGCAATTTACCGAACAGCGTATTGTGTAATGTAACTGGTACTATTTCTGTTAAACAGGCCGTCAACACTATGATAAGATGATACAATTTCAGAAATGTAGAAATATATTTATAACCCGGAAAAGTGTGAACAAAAGGGGGGCGGGGGCGGGGGTTTCAATTGACTAGTGCATTACACGTGAGATTTGTCGTTTGACACGGGCTTATTGGTGAGGACGGAAGGACTTGGGACCGGCGGGACGTGACTGGGGAGTGGTCATCTTTTCTTGACTAGAGGTTTTGGTAAGAGACTTCAAAGAACAAATACCGTTGGTCTAACATCTTCATCGGTGTAAATCTTAGGGGATACTCGTGCAATTTATTAAAAATGGCATTCGCACGGTTTTTCAAAAAAACCTCATGTCAATTGGCCAGTGTGAAATGCCCCTCCATGCAACCTCTTCGCACGCCCCTGCCGAGACAAAGGCAGACAACTATTCATTGAGAAACGTTTACTATGTCATAATCGCGCGATGCGTCGATTTCACGATAACATAAGAAAACTATTGAACATAAAAAAATAATCCTTTATAAAGATACCGAGACCTCTTAATTTCTTAATTACTGGATGTCTTTGCTGCTGAATGACATCGCCGTAACTCGATACTGGTATTTCTTGAATTTAACAATTTGAGGTTTATGTTGCATACTTTTTTGAGCTTGTAAAACCTATTACGCTACTCAGTAGACAAAAATGTGGAGTTAAGAAACGTCGACTTCATGATCTATTTTAAAATTGAAACAATTCTTAAAGAAATTAATATTCGATGAGGAAATATTTAAAAAATTCTTGACGCATAAAAAAAAACTAGTCTCCCTCGGCAACAGGAACGTAGGAAGCTTAAAAAATGTTTTCTGGTTATCTCGTGCAGTCTCTGTCATGCATATATAGCACAGTGTTTGTTTGGTTGCGTAGAGACTGCAAGGTTTCTATTGACCACTAACAATCCGCATCATTGCACAAATCTCATTTTTGGCGGCTTAAAAAAAGGGGTATTTACATAAAACCGAAATGCCTAATTTCTTTATGTCTGATTTCATGTTTCGTGAATGAGTATTTTGCGTGAGGCTTCCATGTTTAAAATACTAGTTTTTCTATTTTATACATATTTTCCTTGAAGTATTAAGCGATCTAAATAAAGCCGATTTAAAGAAAAGATAATTTGAAAATCTTGTCAAAGACGCGAGCTAAATTTAACAACAGCTGACTATATCGTACCAGCTGATTTTGTTTATGTATTAACGATTCGCTGGTGAGTCTTGTGACATGGAAAAACATTCAACTCAAAGCTCTGTGATTGGATAGATCTCTATGAATCACGGTAGGAGAATTTAGAAGTATAAATGAATTAAGTCAAATTATATTAGTCAGAAATATTCGTATGCTAGTTCAGCTCATGTACAGACACAATCTTTAAAAACATTTTTGCCTCCTGTAATTTTTATAATTATTTAGGTTACTTTAATGAGAGTTTTTTTATGAGATGAAGTTTAATCAACTAATCAAATTCTCACAACGTCGATGTTTGACATTCCTCCGGTGCAGCGCATTCAAATTTCTTCCCTCGCTTACGCGGTCACCTGATCACTGAAGACAGCTGGTTCCCGCCGTTTCTGGGCCGATGTGAGCTCTGCAGATTTCACTTCAAATTTTGCAGTAAAAAAGTGGCAAATCTCGACGAACACTGATTCAAATACATAAGAAGAGACTTAGGATTATAGCCAAAAGGGCTGATTGAAGTTATTTCGATCGTGCAACGAGATGACAGAAGAATGTCGAAGCAAACTCGATTCTCTCGATGAGAGCTTTCTGGATGATACGGCCAGTGATGTCGACTGTAGGTAAGTAGTAGCTGGGATTGTTCCAGCTATGTTTTGATCGCCATAGCATTTATAAGGTATTTTTATCGGTTTCTTTAAAAATACAGCTCAAGTCCTGAGTCAGATCGCGATCGTGAAAGGAGACTTAGGCGGGAAATAGCAAACTCAAACGAGCGACGAAGGATGCAAAGTATAAATTCAGGATTTCAAGCCCTCAGAACGTTAATTCCTAATGCAGACGGCGAGAAACTTAGCAAGGTAAAGTTATAATGAACAAATAGAGCTTTTCAGCTGGTAGTGACGGGCGAATGCATCGGAAATTACTATGAAAGCTTACTTATTTTGACATGATTTGTTGTTCTTTCAGGCAGCCATTCTGCAACAGACTGCTGAGTATATATTCTCTCTCGAACAAGACAAAACAAAACTCTTGCAGCAGAATACAACTCTTAAAAGAATACTAAGTCATTGTGGGCAAAATGAAGCGATAAAAGCCGATGAAAATGAAATTCCGTGTAAGAGGCATCGAACTGAGAATGATGGTCATGCTAAAGCACGTGGCTCTAACCAGACTGATCCAAAGGACAAGGATGAGAACGACAATAATATTTCACAAGATGATCTTATGGAGGATTTGCAGAAAGAACTAATCGATCTACGCTGCCAGCTCGAAAAGGAACGGCGATTGAGAATATCTTTAGAGGGACAGAAACAAAAATTAGAGTCTGAATTCAACGAGCTGAAAGCGAAGTGTCAGGGTAAATATACGGCTAATAAGGCGCTTGCCACGACTAGACAGAATTTAGATACAATCGTACAAGCGATAAAACATCTTGAAGGAGATTGCCCCGACAGTGAAGAAACTCCAATTAAATTCAAAGCTGATGTTTTGTCCAAGAATACAGACTTAACTTCGAGGCGTTTGATTGTCTGAGTGTAACTCAGCTGATGATGCATCGACATGATCGATCATGAGGAACTAATGGCAATTATTCAAGGCAATTGCACGTATTTTTATAAATATAAAATAGTAGTTATAGCTTTTGTAAAACAACATATAGCCATTTTCTAGTGAGCAGTAGTATTTATGATTTACAAAAGACAGAATTTTAGTAATGTTTATTGCGAAATAGGTTACTTGCGGAATGTCAGATTACTCCTCAATTGTTGTGACAGATTTTGTACTCATTCACTAAACTATTTATTGCATTTTTAAATTTCTATCTATTAAAAGGATTATGCCTTAAGTACAACCATGTAACTACAGTTTTATATAGCAGGCTATATTAAACAAGAAAACTGTACATTTTTGCAAGCGATTTTCGTTCGTCAAGTTGAAATGTGTCAACAGCTGACGATAACAATAGAAGCACCAGCTGACTTATATTATGTTCAATATTTGACATTGTTACTGCTAAAAAGTCTGATGTAAATAGGTGGATTTGTGAGATCAATGTTTTGTACTATAGGTATTGAGATATGTGAAATTCTACATGATACACAATGCAAGCAGTACTCGCTCGCGTGATTCGTCATCTCATCAATAGGGGGATGTCGTGAGTGCGTGCATTTTATATGTATAATGATTCCCACAGTTCAAGCAACTGATAACCAATAAAAAAATCGAGACACTTCATTCCTTTGCGTATTTCTCATGTTATTTAAAAATTATCATTTATTTATTTTTAGATCTAACTTATTGATTTATGTTCTCCAAGTTTGTTTGAGACACTTCCAGAACGATACCGATGAATATGATTAGTTTACGGGTGCATCATGGGAGATTTTATCTTCTCTCGTAATAAGAATCAATCAAACTCCTTAAAACAGTATGCGCATTTTGCAGAGATTAATTATTTTTGTATTGTGTATGAAATAAAAACTTCGTACGTAAAGCTGGTCAGACGGGGAATGTTTGTGTTAACATCGATGGATTCACTTCGTGCATCCGAGAACTTTTGCAACAAACGAAGACTTTGGACTATTTATGGATGATCGCCTTAATCCGTTTCTATCTTGTGCTGCTAGCTGTTAGGTGTGGGAAAGATTTTCATCGTACTTACTTTGCTAGATAGATTGATATCAATCGGAAAGCAACTTTAACTGAGATTTACCCTGGTCCCAGAGGTTTTCTTTTCTCTTCTTTCATAGATGTTTTTCTTCTTGCGTCGTTAAATTTAAAAAACAAAGACAAAAATACGATAAAAAACATCTATAAAAGAAGAGAAAAGAAAACCTCTGGGACCAGGGTAACTGAGATTCTGAGGGCAAAAAACTGATAACTAAGAGGGGGGTTAGTACTCCGCTATACTTATGATACGGGGACTTTTTGATTCCGGAAAATAGTTTATGGTTTTTCGCTTTCTTGTTTTAAGTAGAGATTGCAATTGACCTTGTCTTGAATAGGGGTAGACTATACAATATTAATCTCGCCATACTATAAAGTCAAAATGAAACACATGGTGACATCTTTTACGGAAACATTACCTGGTTTTATGTCTTGGATACCGTGTGCACTTTCTTACAGATTTGTCTAACCCACTTCCCTCCTCCCCCAGGGGCAGGAACTCGGGAGAGCAGACTGTATCATGTGGTACAAGATTTTAATTCACTCATAAACAACATTATAAATTGAAAGAATATTAACATTTAAAAAAAAAGGTTTTTTTTCATATCTCACTAATATATTGTAATTAAATCAGTTTGTAATTATCATCATACTTCATATTTTTATGTATAGTTTGCTAGAATTGTTAATTACGTTAGGTATAGTTGTTTTCTTTATAAAGTCTATTCAATACTGAAGTTGATTACTAGCATTATTATTGCAAAGCTTCAATGATGCATTCAAGTGGGCACTGTTTTAAATTTGGCAAAAAAGCTCCATGTTAAAGGAATAGTTGTTGGTAATTTAGGCAAACAGGTTCTAAATTGCTATGAGGGGATATGCTATTGTTTATTATCATTTAGCAATAATATATATTGCTATTTAGCAGAAGTACATAACCAGAAGTGTCCATCTCCGCATTGGTATCGCCACCATCAGATGTCCGGATAATCTATTTTTAGACAACAAATCACAACACGCGCACATATTACACGGCACCTGATTGGTCCTTGTTGATCTACTTCATTCAAGAGCGGACAAGAAAGGCAGGGAAAATTATATAGTCGATGGAGGCGTACGAATTGAAGTTCGCATTTACGAGAATTTTACACCTTTTGCTGAACAATCATTTTTGAATTCTATAGAAAACATACTTTACTATATGATCAATGTAGCAAAAGTATTTCAAGAGCAATATGGTCTGCAAAAACTAGGGAAAAGTTCAGACAAAGATGAAGAAAAATGTAAAACAGCGTGCTAAGAAAAGTAAAGTAAAGTAGCTTCCTTAATACAGTCATATAGAGCTGGACTTAAACAAAGCCAAAGGTAAAGTAATTTTCGACTTTTAAGGTGAGATGGAAAAGCTGTAAATTTTCAGGTAGGCGGGTTTTTTTTTGAAATTCAAGTTAGCTATCGATATTTCTTTGATGACTTTTCTTGTTTGTGGCTTTTATTGTTTGGTTTTCGTTATTACCCTCTGTACCTATTCGCTAGTTTGTTTATTCCTCACTTTTTCTTTCAAAGAACAATTATTTTTCAACTCCTTACACAGTGAAGAGTTCACAATATAATATGAACGTAATTTGAACATCATTTCGCAAAAAAAGAGTTTTTTTTGTGACATTTTTCGCACTCGGGCATCGTTTTGTATTACTTTTCCCCTTTTTATAAAGCTATTTAGATCCTAAAATACCTTTACTACAATTCTATGTATAGTCTAAGGGTATTAGAACAGATTTCTTATTAAAACGAGAACAATTCACCCCACAAAAATTACATTTTTGCAGACATTTCTTCGCACTCCTTTTGTCTGCATCTTTTTCATCTTTGTCTGAACTTTTCCCTTGTTTTCGCAGACCATATTGCTCTTGAACTTCCTTCGCTACATTGATCATATAGTAAAGTATGTTTTCTATAGAATTTAAAAATGGTTGCTCAGCAAAAGGTGTAAAATTCTCGTAAATGCGAACTTCAATTCTTTCGCCTCCATCGACTACATAATTTTCCTTTCTTGTCCGCTCTTGAAGTAGATCATCAAGGACCAATCAAGTGCCGTGTAATATGTGCGCGCGTTTGTGATTGGTTGTCTAAAAATAGATTATCGGGACATCTGATGGTGGCGATACCAATGCGGAGATGGACACTTCTGGTTATGTACTTCTGTATTTAGTGATCCGTCACATGCTTTCTTAATTTGTAGGAGTGAAAAGATAGTGGTGTGGAAGGAATTAGTTCTATTGGCACCTTTTACGACGTATCATTTGAATGATTTAAGTGGGATTTATAAACTCATTCATTTTTTTTAGAAAACATACGCGCATGTATAGATTGTCATGAGATAAATATTTCTAACTACTGATATTGAAATTTCTATACATCTGTACATTACGAAATGTTTTTAAAAATCATGCGTTTGTGCTACAATGTTATCCATAATGTCAGATATACGCACTTTACCGATGAGAGAAGCAAAGAATAGCTCTTCAATACTCGATTTATCTATGGCACGAATAGATGGTAATTTTAGCAACACTTTAGCAAATCGCTCGGGCTGGGTAGGATATTTATTGTCCATATATCGCTTGAAAGCGCAGTGAGACTGTTCCTGTAAAATTTCGATCTGTTTAGGATCCGCAACTGGGATATGAGGATCTGAAAAACAATCGAATGATTACATAGTAGTCAATATGGATCGAAGAGACTGTTTATAAGGGATATGTATATACATAGGGTGGTATTAGGGTGGTTTTTGATGATATCACGTAAAAAAGAACAGATAACAAGAAGTCCAATACACCTTTACCATAATGGCTGCAATTGTGTTTTTCCAAAATAAAATAGATATTGAATATATGATATCACTGTAACATCAACGAACTATCAGAAATAAACGTTTTTGGAACGTTTTAGAACTCTGGAAAAAATAGGAAAAAAGTTATGGTGAAATGAAAATACAAAGAAATGGCTGTCTGTCTGCTGTTTGTTGCTGAATATGAAATATGTGAATGAACTACCAGAAATAAAAAAATTTTGAAAGTTTTACAGCCCTGGATAAAATGCGAACAAATTTATGGCCAAATGAAAATACAAGAAATGTATGTAATTTTCAGCCAAGGCCTTTATAGCCTCGTTCTGGTGTTATGATATATTTTAAATCCTTATAACTTCACCAGAATTTAATATTTTCATTTCAAACTTTTATATGTTGTTATTAGCACAGGTTCCTTTCAGCTGATAGTTTACTTTGACTAAAATTCTAAATTTTAAAAATTTATGTTAATTAGATGGCGGCCATTATGGTAAAGGTGTATACCCACTATAATGAGTCATTAACACGACAAAAAAAAAAAAAGCTGTATACCTGACATGAACTACAAGGCCGAGGTTACAATATATCAATCGTGCTTAGTTTTACCTGCATTAAACAGAACGATAGCCTTTACATATGCAAACTCCATTGAGTCCAATTCCATTCTTGCAAAGCTGAACACGAAGTTTTTCACAACCATAACATTGTCAAACTTAGAATGTTTTGGAATGGGACGCACTACCCCTTGATCCCTACGTTCTTCGCTTGTTTGCCTTAAATCTGCAGCAGCATAGGCGAATAGTGGAGAAAATGGAAATCTTTCAACAAACTGAGCAATGCCGATTAAAAAAATTTCGGGCCATGATTTCTGCAGTAGAGCAATCTGGTCAGGTTTCCTAAGACTTCGGAATGAACTTATGCTCCTGCACCAGTCAACAGATACAAACAGCAGCCTAGTAGCAAACTCATGGATGTAGTCCATTGAAAAGTCACGAGCAGCTAATGAGGGGATAAAGAGTTTAAATTCGGCGTGCTGTGGGCCCAGTATGTCCACTATCTCGTTAAAGTTGCCATGTGGAGACGTAGGATCACATAATGAGGCAGGCGGAGTAATGGGCATTATGCTGTCCTCTACATTATGGTAGCATTTCCTTTTTTCGTCAACCATCGTTCGATTGCTTGTCATAGACATCGGAGGAGAAATCATTAGTGGTTTTCGTTCACATTGCACAGCTATGACAAGGAAAATTTCAATCAATATTTCTTTCTTTTATTTGAGCAAAGCTGCACAACGCAACAGAAGGATAAGGAGTGAAGAACTCATGAAGAAACCACCAATGAAAGAGCAGAAAAAAGGAAGGAGAAAAGCACAGCACCGCAGAAAAGAGCTGAAGAGAAAAGAGCAAAGCATGCAGAGCATAGCTGAAAAAAGTGGTAGTGAGCAGGTCTATTTAAGTAAGACAGAGATAAATAGAAGACACTAGCAGAGTATAGAACGAAGCTGAGCTTGGAACAATAGGCACGGCACAGCAAAGTATAGAGCGAAGCTGAGTAGAGCGTAGGCACAGCAGGGGCGTGTGCAGGGGTTTCACGAGGGGTCGGAGGAGCTCAGCTTTGTTTTTGCTGTTTCATGGCTGTGGAGAGGGCGTTTAACTGCGAAATTGCAAAGGTGTTGTTTTGGATTCTCACCAATCAAACATTTCATGTTGAAAAAAGGCCAAAGTCGCAGATTTCCAAGACTTCATCTTAGCGGGTTTCCGGACCACCTAGAGCTAGTAAAAAGTATCTGTCTGTCCTGGAACTACGCCCTGGGCACGCCCCCTGCACAGCAATGAAAAGTATTCCGAAGAAAAACTACTCAGTTAATGCCCTAGACATACCGCTTTGATTCATCCCCGCTTTAAAGCATTTTTCAAGGCGACACCTCTGGCAGCGATTCCTTTGAACTTTATCGATAATGCAGCAGCCTTTAGCCCTACATGTGTAAATCAATTTATTCCTCACACTTCGTTTGAAAAATCCTTTGCAGCCTTCGCATGCTATGACTCCATAGTGCTTTCCTGTTGCCCGATCACCACACACCTGACAATCTCCCCAGCACGACGACTTGGATAGAGTGGGTTTCATAAGATGCTGCTGTTGTTGCTCATAGTTGGAGTAGTTGTTCTGTAATCTTTCTAGGGTTGAATTGGACGTCGAAGGACGGCAGTATTCTAATATCACAGAGATAACATTAGCGATTGATTAGTTATTTTTGAGGCAGAAATTTGCCCCATTAATGCCAGTAAGTCTAAATTCTTAGCCATGCATTCGATTGCAACGGTCATCTCTATATTCTCTCTCAACCGGACTCTAACAATTACATTATTCATCCAACCTTACAGCAATCATGCATGCAAACAAAATAAATGTGACACATATTCATAATCAACAAAATGATGCCGCTGCACCTCAGAAAGAACTACGGAGGAAAAACATGCACTTAAACATCTAACCTCAAATAGAATGTCGACGTTACAACACCTTCCGGGCCTGGTTTAATGTATTGTTTTATTCGAAGATATATATCTTCCTGGCCATTAAATCATCATTTCAGTTTGTTCATCATTTAATATAACATTGACAATATGACTTGATTCATTCATTGCTTTGGGCTAGCGTGATGTACTATACTCTAACAACATCAATCAAACAAGTGAAGGCTTTTGACCTACTAGAGGAAACTAATCTCGTTAAACTGCTCACTATGAATAAATGCATTCAGGTATACCTGAACATGACCAAATCGAGCTGTGGTACGAAATTCTTGTTAAGTAATAAAAGCAGGAGTTTTCTTTCCTTTGACATGACGCTATGCATGTAAGATGGAGCCTGACTTAAGTAAGGTTACAGTTATGTAAAAAGATAAATTTAACACCGTAAAAAAGTATGTGAAATAACTTACTGACGTTTCGGACGTTAATCCTTCGTCGGAGTAAAAGTGATTTTAAGTAAGGTTAGTCAAACAACACTCCCTAGCTTGCTAGTCATGTAAAAAGAACGAAGTCAGTCTAAAAACTAGAAAAGACACATTGTCGAGATAAGTACAAAATATGGCGTAAACACGGACACATTATAAGCATTTTTCACATTGCAGTTCCCGTAAACGGCAATGAAAGTTACTAAGATGAAGTGTACAACTATACTGAGCTATCATAGAAAATCTGTGATTGACAGCTCGTTTTCAATGATCGAACAATCCACTTTGGAATTGTTGAAACTCTAAAGGCATGCTAAGTCACATACAATTGATACAATTAAGGCCATGAAAGCCGTGCAGAAAAGTGGCCGTAGATCAATGAGAACATGAATCCGTTTCCACGTACTTGATAAGAGTATTGCATTTTATCTGACCTTATCTGTTGTTAATGTTCGGAATTAAAAACTAGAATGTGAAAGATTTTACTGTTGTTGTTTTCGCGCGCTTCAATACCTCATGGAATTAGTGCTAAATCGTTGAACAAACAATTCGATTCTCACGTGGCCCAAAGTATCTACAGTCTCACGATACCAATGTGTTGCATAACGTGTAGGGTAAAGTCACGCACACCCTTACTTCGCAAAAACACACCATAACATCATACCACTAATGCTAATTGTCCAATGACTCAGCAGTTCCAGTTGTCCACTTAAGGTTTCAAAAGTTTGTCTCTAGTTTCTTTCGCTGAGAGAGAGGAAGACGCTTTGCAGACACGGGGAGAGCCTCGTGGTATCACGAGCACAGTTCAAGATTCCAAAGGACAAGCTAGTTTAGACTATGACCTCTAATTGTTTTACAAACAATTCCGTATATTCATACTAACTAATCATGCTCTACGTTTTCTCTGAAATTCAAATGTCTGCGCTGAAAAGTATTGTAACTTGGCTGGTTGCATGAACAGTGAGGGTGGACTTGTGCTCTGCTTTTTTTGTACATTGTACATAAAATGATTGTTCTAATAGCATCGAAAGTTTCCCTGTAATTGTTACTAGACTATGGCAGCTAAAGCTTACCATGACACCGCGCTAAAACATGCCATCGCAATGTTCCTGCGGGCATCTGTGCTACTGTTTTTTCTTACTTGCAACACAAAGATAGAGTCCGCTGAGAAAACGAAAAAAACACCTACTGTTTCAAAACTGCTTGACAAAGAGTTCGAGTATCAAGAGGATTTTTCTAGCAAAGGAGCGGTGTACACAGCTGAAAGGCAATGTCTGCATTTGGTCTCCGAATCATTTCAGTCGATAGCCATTGTGCAAAACATTTTCTCACCTATAGAAACTACTGATGTCTTCAAAATCATGAATCAGGTTCTTTCTACATTGTAAAAGCGGTTTAAACTATGACTAATGGCAAGCAAAGTTATGAAAACTTTGTTTCAAATCCAGCAAAAAGGAAAGCCGCATAATTTAGAGCTTTTAAGTTGTTTAACCGACTAACTTATCTCTGAAATGTGATGTTTTTGTTGAACGTGTTCAAAACGCACGCCGTCTACCGACCGTTACGCTGCTCAAAAACGGTAAAGTAGAAAAAGAGATAAAATGATTATTATTCCCAAATATTTACCATTTCAATCTTAAATTGAACTCTTGAATGGCACAAAAAGTACATAAGCGCCAAGATTGCCATAGTTTCAGCAACGATTTTTGGGCAACATTGCGGTACGAAGCAGCTTGACTTTTGGGATTGTCATTGACCCAAAAATGATCTGATTTGCGCGCGCTCAGATGAAATCATGATAGTAGTATACAATCCACATGGTTCAGCCATAAATAGTTACTATACTTCTTACAAGCATTATTATAATTTTTTTCCATCTCAAGAATCGATTGTTTTTCTGTATCACAGTCACATCAACACAGAATTACTTAGCATCAGTGCTTATTGGCCAGTCAGTGCACTGATAAACCTTTGTCCATGGTTATTTTTCAGTAGAAGTCAGTTACAATACCAACTACACGAATAAATAACAAATAGAAATAAAGTAGTAATAATAACAATAATATTCCATCTGTTGTTAAAAAGCTGAATGCGAACATAAAAAAACTTCTTTGCTGTTGATATCATACATCGGATATTGATGCCTTGAAATATGAGTTATAGAGAATATTTTACCTTCACATGTTAAGTTGGACGACAAATGCCTGTGAATGAGCCACATAAGGCTACTAGAGATGAGTAACGCTGTAGTATGATAAATTATATCTGAACGTTTAGAAGTATACACAACCTGTATACTTCAATATCGACTAATATCTCTCGAGCGATAAGAGAAAAATATAAGTTAATTCGCAAATAGAGAAAAAATGCAATCGGTTGCGGAGAGTTTAAGTCACGACAAGGCTGTAAACCTAACTTACCGGTCATAGTTCAAAGAGACTCAGCATTTATAACTAGCACAGTGAAAATGTTACAGCTCAACGCCAGTCATGGTTTTCACAAACCAGAAGATGCTTTGTATGTAATTCAGTGCCCAAAAGAGTAATTTTTGATTCTTCTCTTCAATAGCAGTACTCTGTATCTTTGAACTATGCTTTATGAGATAATCATATTGAGGACTGAATGGTCCAATCACAGCCTGAGCAACAGCCCGGTTGAGATGACATAGCCAGACGATTCATCAAGGTCACGTTGCATCTCACGTGGACATAGACGAACATCACGTTGATCAGCATAATTGCATAAGTAATGACGTAACATAATAAGACATTCAATTGCCATGACAACCAGTTGATGAAATGTGCGTATTCACTTTTTATTTGTCCACAATAAAACGTTTTTAATGAAAATCAAGTCTTTTGTCTTCGCTTGTTTGTCATTTTTGGCCTTTTATTGCCTTTTTGTCTATACATGCATAATTAGTACTGTGTAGAAGTCGATATTCAGGAAAGAAACGGCAAATATTTTTCTTTTGAACTTCTGAAGGACTCACGGGTGCACGTGCCCGTACATTTATTGGTGTTCCCTCATGATTTCACAAGAAGCCAAAGCTAGAGATATGTAACTAACTCTGACCCGTATGCAAATTTTCACGCATCGAAAGTATCGAAAGTATCTGGGGTTTTTTAATGCAAAGTTTGAAACAATCCAAGATCCTTCAATACTTTCAGATCATCATCATATGAGCTTCCTGTGGAAAAATTAAGAAGGAAATGTATCAAGGAAAAAAGGATTGTGCACTGATGGTGTTTTGTACATCTTTTTAGAAAATTTCGCCTTCTTTTCGTCATTTGGGATTCCTGTGTTGTGATTCAAATGTTATCGGTTTACAAACGCTCTCTCGGAGACTAAGCACGAGGAGAAAAAGACGAACAAGATTTAGGCCCTGTTTACATGGAGATTGGGTTACCCTACTACTCTCTTGATTTCGCGGGTTTTGTTTACTTTTCCTAAGGGGACTGGGGAGGGCCGGGCGAGCGGGGAGTGGGAAGTGGCCCTCCCCAATCCCCTTAAGGCGGGGAGGGTTATCTGGTAATGCGTCAAATGACGTCAAACATTTCGCGCTCAAAATTTAACGCGTCAAGTCAAACAAAGATCAAAATGGCGTCCCATACGTATCAAGCGTCTACCCGCCATTTTGCTGTTTACGAAGGTTAGCGACCTCAGCAATGAAGATAGCCCTACACCGGATATAACTCGCTTGTGGAGTTTTCATGTAAAGGTAGCAGGCCGACTTGGAGTAACTATCGAATACCCCGCATAAAAAGCATCCTATGATTTGATCACAGCAACGCGTCAAAAATGGAACATCGGTATACCTGTGTCTATATGTTTATACATGTCTTTAAAGAACGAGAAATTCTTATACACCTATTTCAAAAAACGTTGTCGTCACCAAGACACAGTCCATAGTCTTGAGCCTGCAAAGAATCTCGGGGTTTCCATGCGTAATTAATATATTCAAAATATTTTGTGGTTTGAATTCAATGGAGGCAAACACTACTAATATACTATTGCGGCCCATCGAACAAGTCTCGCCATGAGACATTTTCCTCATTGAAATGAATATTCCACGTTTTAAAACGTCAATGAGTTTCAAAGCTATATTCGCCGAGAATAATCCAGTTTCGTATTCTYCAWTGCTCTGTGTTAGCCTAATTTGTTCGCAAAATATTCCTAATTGTGACAATAAAAGTGTGAGATTTCAATTCAATTCTAGTTGTCTCTCTTTTCAAATTCCATGCGTTTTCTCGGGTTATCAATGAAACAAGAGAATATGTTGATTGGTTTTGGAGCAAACACAGAGCAAACCAGAACTCTAAATCGAAGTATTTCGAATAACTGAAATAATCCAGTTTCGAATTCTCCAATGCTCTGTGTTAGCTTCATTTGTGCGCAAAATATTCGTAATTGTGAGAATAAAAGTGTGAGATTTCATATCAATTCTATTGTCTTTCTTTTCAAATTCCATGYGTTTTCACAGGCTATYAATRAAACAAAAGAATATGTTACTTGGTTTTGAGGCTAACACAGAGCAAACCAGAACTCGAARTTGKAGTATTGAACACATAATATATGGCAATCCCGAGATTCTTTGCAGGCTCAAGACTGTGGACTGATTCCTGGCGACGACAACGTTTTTTGAAATAGGTGTATGTAGTGGCTACGCGTCAATGCGTGCTACGCGACAAAAATGGTGTATTGGTATACCTGTGTCTACATATTTACTTATATATGTCTTTAGAGAATTGACGCGTAGCCAAAAATATGTCTATACTAAGGTGGCTACGCGTTAGCTGTCCGAGGTGCGGGGTATTCGATAGTTGTAACAAAGGGAAAGGGGGGGGGAGTGAGAAGGTGAGGAATCCATAAAAATCTTGTGGAAAACTCTCGAAGCCGTTCAAAGTACCAAATGCATATGAGAGGGGACATCACAAAAGGGGTCTTGTGTCTAGCTGGAAAAATGCAGTCTTGCAAAAGACGCAATTAATTCACTCGCTGCATCAAAAGGGTCTTACATCCAAACCTACTGAAGCGTTCCTATCGAGGTTGGAAGGCTCGATTTATTATTCCAAATTTGGTTTCAAATTTATATTTAAACGTGCAAAAACAAAACCGACAATGTAAATTTCAAATCTGACGTCGATTTGAACCTCGATTCCTGATTGGATTATTCCAAAAATAAACAGTACGTTGCATATTTCGAAAAAAAAATGGCGGCGGTGAATAGTCTTCAGAGGCCGTACGCCCCAGGAAAACCTTTATCGATTGCTGAAAGACAACACATTATACAATTATTTAACGGCGGACTCACAAAAACGGAAGTTCTGAACGGCTAGCTTCGCGTAACTCTTCGGTGCGTAACAAACGTCATCGAACATTATCGTCGGTATGCCTCTGTCAATCCGTTAGGACATAGCGGTAAGCAGCCTGTTGTTTTGACATATGATATTCTGGAGGACATAGAGGTTTGGAAGCATCAGAAACCATCCTTGTATCGTCGACATCGTGAAACAACTTTTGGAATGCACTGCCGCGAACGAGTGAACGTCATTCCCGCGCTTTACCCAACATGCACTTMGTTTTATYATTGRAATAATCCAATCAGGAATCGAGGTTCAAATCGACGTCAGATTTGAAATTTACATTGTCGGTTTTGTTTTTGCACGTTTAAATATAAATTTGGAACCTTTAGCCTCCTTTTGTGCTGTCCCTTCTCATCATTGTCCTGACTGCAAGCAAGGTCATCAATCAACCTCAGGTTTTTTGATCAKTAATTTCGGCTTTTATTAGCAAGAAAAAAGGAAACTTCGGGCCTTGTGTTGGGCTGTCGCAAAAGGTCACCAAGAGGAGGCTGTCGTTCGCCGGACATTGCCATCGGGCCACTGAGGAAGTAATACAGTCTCTACTGCTGTGGAAACCTCGCGGCCTTGTCCGTCATAGAGGCCTCACCTACCCAGATACCATTGCTAGGGACGCGGGAATCGAGAAAGAGGACCTCTCTGCAGCCATGGCGGACCGTGAAGTGTGGCGACGTGTTGTTGAGTGCGCCCCGGCCCTTAGGGTCGCCAGATGATGTGTTGGGCTCTATTGTCCAGCTGCATGACGGTCAATGGGCGTTGTTGTGCGTCTGCGCAGCATGCATGGTTTGATTTGCGTCTTGCGTGCTGTGCATGGTCTAAGTTCAGGCCAAGATTAGAGGGGACATCACAAAAGGGGTCTTGTGTCTAGCTGGAAAAATGCAGTCTTGCAAAAGACGCAATTGATTCACTCGCTGCATCAAAAGGGTCTTAATTCTTTAGCCTCCTTTTGTGCTGTCCCTTCTCATATACATCTGACTTGTCAAATATTGCGGTAAAGATATTTTTATTCTCACCGGCTAATTGGCTGGGGAAATCAGTCATTTGCAAATGACTGGGCCATACTAGCACTAGTCAATATTTCGAGGATAAGGGTCACTGTTCTTTTTCCGGATTTTTTATCCGAGTTTTCAAAGTTGCTGCTATTTGGCTAGGACCTCGTAGACAAGACAAGTCAGAAATTTCACACCAGGCAACAGAAACTTGTAAGCGAGACTTGGAGCAAACCGCAAGTCGAGTGAGAAAACGTGGTCGGCAGGTCCTTCGTTCCGGGTTAGCGCTTCAGGCGCGCTATGCCACAGCAATAAATGTATAAAGTCAAACTTAAATTTATTTTATAATTCATGCGCGAAAATATCTAGTTTTAGTTCAAGTTGAGAAGCCCTTTTCCTGACATTGCAAATAGGTAAACAAGCGTAAAAGGAATGTTTTGGGTTTGGGTTGATCGCCCAATTCTGCCTCGCTTTGTGCAAATCCACTGGCATCTCGCTTTCTCTAACCTCGATTTTCCTAGACTTAATGAAATCATATAAATCAACAGCAATATAGTTTCTAACAGCCTGAAAGTATCGTTTTACAAAACAAAGAAGACCGAGAGTTAGTCTCCTTCGCAGAGAAGCCTTTAGTGTGGGCTTCCTGTCAGGAAGCCTGTCAAAAGGGTAGCTTGCGCCAATTAAGACCACGTGAAAAAAGAATCAGCGTTTATTTCATAAGGTTTCAATGATTGAGTTATTTTACAGTAATTTCAAAAAATCTTTACTGAACACAGTCCATTCTATGTAAACTAGGCCTTAAGTGTTATTGAGCGTTCCTCCAAAAGCCTAAAAAAATATTAATTGCAGCTTTGTATCTTCTTCAACAGATTCGATCAGTTGTATTTCATGAAGACACACTAATGGAAATAATACTAACAGTTATACTATACAATGACTAGGATAAGTCATGATGCAAAGTACGTCCCTAGGTAACCTAGGGTCTTTGAAACTAAATTTAAAACTAACAGGGCAAAGAGCAGTTTTTCACTTTCCAATGTAATTTAATTAACAATAATAGAAACGAAAATAGTTTTTTCTTATAGTTACGGATATTTCTTATATTGTCTATAACTAATTGATCCCCGGAATAAGTTACATAGTTAACGATATAGTTTATAAATGTATTGTAAGCAATTTCGGCAACGGCTACGATGTATTTTCTATTAAAGTATCTATCTATCTATGATAAAACTTCGATGATATTACAATGTTATAAACAGCCAAAGATTTGATAGTTCTTCTAAACAAGTGTCTCTAAGGGTTTATCATCCGGATTATCATCTGAATCATGTTGGTCACTTGCACATTCAGCAGCATTTTTCAAAGCTTTTGGTTTTGACTTTAAGTTTTTTGTTATCATTTTTATGATATCTTGAGCAAACTTCGAGGTGCAGGTATTGTTGATGATCCTCTTCTGCTTTTCCAACCATCGATCAACATAGTTTTGATCCGTTCCTTCGGTAGGGATGGCTTGTAAATCAGTTTTAACTGAAGGAAGATACCTTATGAACTTTTGGCAGTATCTTTTGATTTGGATTGCCTTTCTTTTATCCATATTGAAATTTCCAATGCCATTAGACTTTAGGACCATGAAAAAGTTGGTCACCTTTTCTAGGCCATCGACGAAATATTTCAACGCTGGTATTAATGTATTGGACACGGCCTCTACAGCATTTCCTTGAGCTTGTGCTTGAGCACCATGTGCTATGGCTTTCACCATGTCAACATTGGCAGAAGAGAACATTTCTGCTGCGCGCTGGCTGTCTTCACCGTGTATAAATCTCCAAGCCCAGTTATGCTTACTTTTGGATCTCTTTTCCAACGTTGCTTTCTTTCTGGTTAAGGTTTCCTGAAGACACTTCATCTCATTCATGACAAGCAACACATCCTCTTCTCGTTGTCTCAGAGATGAAATGATATCTTCATGCAAATGTTTAACTGTTTTACAGAGTTCTGAACAGTAGTTAACGCTGTCTTCAATGATCAAGATACTTGAACGCCACGAGACAGCATCCAATTCAGTGAAATAATCAAAGAATTCGTCAATCGACGAGATGAGCTTCGTGGAGAGTGGAAGAACACCTTGTAGGTAAACAATGGTATCATTTCTTGTTTCATCACGAATTTTACGGAACTTGACTGCAGCCTCTTCATTTGTTCCGACGGCTTTTTCTACATAAAGCTGTCTCAGGCACAGGGAAAATGATCGCATGTTGTCAGGCATTTCCTCCATGACCTTCTCTAGCTCAGCCACCGATCTGCTGTAAGGATCTTTGTCTCTTTTTTCCAAATCTCGATTTTGACTCATCTATATTTATCAGAAACAGATCTTTATTAATGTGAGTTTTAATTGTACACGCTGCTGCAACAGTCCTCTTCAAGCAGCTTTTGCTTTTTCTAAGCAAAAATAGAAGTAGTCGTACCGCTTCTAGAACAGAAAAACGGCTTTTCGGGGAGATATTTTAGGCCTTATAAGTGCGAGGACTGAAACTCCCATCATGCTTTGTTAACAAAATGGCGTGGCCTATTATATAGCAGATTGGTAGTTAAACCACAATAAAACATGCAAAGTTTTGATTTGTTTATTGGTTACATGATTGCAATGGTTGGGCTCCCTATCCTAACAACGCTATCTGTGATGATTCCCCACAATCCATTGATTGCCTCATGCAATACATTTTTACTAAATTATGGCACAAATTGCCTGGTTACGCAGTTAATTGTATGCACACAATTTCTTGGGCTATTTTTTTTAAGATATTGTCAAATATCATATCACCAACTAGATCTTGAGATGTTTACAATCTAATTCGAGACTAAATTGTGAAATTAACCGTTACTATTTACAACTTAAACCCGCGGTCAAGTTCAACTTTACTTTAAGTTAAAAACTATATATACGATCCAGGGTCTAAAAACTAGATATCTGCTTAGAGAAGAACCAAAATACTATACACTTTTTTCCATCGTTATCAACGCAAATGTTTGACAGTTGTGCACATGTCACAAAAAATCGTTGTTTGACATGCAGCATAATCCCTCCTGGTGAAAAAAAGGATCGCTTGTTCGGTGCTTTTATTCGCTTTGTTACTGCCTTGAGTACTGTGTTCATGAGACTGAATGGTCTTCCTTTGTCTTTTTAACTATCCTATTGGAATAAAGTATAAAAATTCTTTTTCTCTTTGACAATGTTTTAAATAGGTGTAAACACCCAAAGCTCACCAGCAACTGAGAGAAAGTTCCTATGATTATTATACTGTGCTTCTCTATTTTATTAACATTTTCGGTAAAGTTGCATACAAAGTTACATACAAAGATGCATCTGAAACACTGACACACTATCGTGGACAAACTCGCATCAGCCAACCAGAAAAGATGCATGGATCAGATCAGAAAGTTCAAACATAAAACTGGAATGTTTCAGCTCGAGCACTAGGCCCACTAGCCAATTCTCGTTGCCGAAACATGTGTCTTTTCAAATTATCGATTATCCTTCCAGGTTTTTTACGAAGGTTATTCGTCATTTTCATCATTTCCTTTAATCTTGTAAACACGTATTCATGGTCGATCTCCTCATCATCAGTACCATCGTCTGGGCAGATCGCTAGGAAATCGGTCTTTACTGAAGGAAGAACCCATCTGAAATCTTTGCACTTCATTAGGATATTTGATGCGTTAACTAGTTTCATCACATCAGAAAAAGATTTGAAACTATCTTTCATACACCTTTCACCGTTCGCATGGCATTTAATTAATTCGCTCTCCATTTCAGACAAAAATCCTGCCACGGTTCCCAATCCTTCAGTGAAAGCTGTCAACGCTGGAATCAAAGTCTCTAAAACAGCTGTTGCGGCAGCGTCTTTTGCCTGTGCTTCAGTTCTCTGCACAAGAGCATCTTTCTTATCACTGTTAGCTGCAACGAATAAAGGTGGGGCTGCAAACAGATTTACTACAGGAACAAACGATAAAGCAATAGCCATTTTCCTCTTGAATTCAGCAGATTTTTCAAATTCGCTCTGTTTTCTTACGCACTCTTGCTGCAGCTCTCTGATTTCCAGCTCTACTTCCTTAGCTTTATCTTCCCTCCGCTTCAATGTAACCATCATGTTTTCATTCATCGATCTGGCCATATCACATAACTGCCTGCAGTTTTGTAATTCTTCCAGCATCCCATGGAACTGTTTGTATAGATCCTCGTTGTTGAGATTCATAAAGTGCTCAAATACACCTTCAATCTCGGATACCACCACTTCGACAATGGGAAGAACAGCATTGATATAAACCAAGGCATCGTTCTTTGTGTCATTTCGTAGCTTTTTGTACTTTGCACACGATTCAGGATCACTACGAAGAGCCTGATCCACAAAGCGTTTTTTCATACTTTCAGAAAACATTCTTATTTGTCTGGGCATTTCTTCTAGTGCTTGTTCAAATTTTGGAAAAGTTGAATCGGTTCGTCTTTCAGAATGCTCCATGACTGTATGTTCCAGAATTGCTTTTGCCGTCTACGTTGTTGAGACATATGCAACAAAAAACACGCGTTAACTAATTAATCTTGAGTTATTCAGGAAATACATATAGAACAACTGCAAATCTGACAAACGATTTAATTTAAGAGCACACAGAGCTGCTTTTCAATTTGTCATCCTCTTCAAAACACAAGATCGCGTAGTGAAGTCAGTAAACTTCTTAACGTCTAACTTCTTAAATGTCTAAAGAGTTCGATGTTTTTATTTGTAGTGGTATGGAGTTCCATCATTTTGCAGCGTACAATGGGTTTTGGTTCAATGGATTTTCGTACAGTGGGTTCCTTTTCTTTCGATCTGCATACAACTTCGATTCGTTGAGTTTGTATTTGATTACTTTGGAACTTCGATTTAACGGATTTGACAGTTTGTTTGACGAAGATGACTAGCGATTTGATTACTTTGTGACTTTTTAGGGGTAGAGGTCCCGTAGAAGGGAGAGTCGTCACACTGTTCTCTTTCGCTACGAATATTCTGGTTTTACACGTTTTCTTTCATCAGTTTCATTTCATTTTCTTCGCGGACTACAAAAAGTGGAAAACGTGTCCCTTTGTTTTGTTTTTCAGTCGCTGCGAATGCAATATGGTCATATTCAGTTTGACTCCGGCCTCGTTTGACTTACTGCCGCCTCCAACCCTAATAGAATACTACTACCAATACTACTGTTTGTAGTAACGAAGCGACTTTCAGTGACCTCGATCCTATAGATTGGCTTAAAATAAAAGGCGTGAGCCTCCCTTTAAGCTTAAAATTTTGACAAATGACCCTCCCCAAAGAGGCTCCAGCCAGTCCCAACAATAGCAATCACACCTTCCCTAAACAGTGCATGCAAGCTGCCCACGGAGTCGCGATAAACTGAGTCAAATAGAGTTTGTAACTACCCTACAACAAATATTGAGAGTTTATGGGTTAATAACTAACCTTCTAGACCAGTTGGATCGAATTAAAATGTCAAATTTAAAGTTGCTTTTTGGTGTCCATGTTTACGTCTTTTTATTATTTTGTACCGAATAAAAATGAAGAAATTAAATGCTTTCGAGCTTTTACATTTTTATCAGGCTGATAAAAATGTAAAAGCTCGAAAGCATTTAATAAAATTACCTGGAATTGCTGAAAAATTTCTTGTCTTAACTAACAAAACAAGATGCTTATCGATACTCACTTCATCAAACGTGTTTTCTTCGGCGGTTTTCTTGTTCGGCATGTTCTCCCAGTTTGTTTCAATCTTGGATCTCCCAGTTTGTTTCACGCTTGGATCTCCCAGTTTGTTTCACGCTTGGATTTATCGTTTACGTGCAGAACGTGTAAACGAAGATATGCAAGCCCTGATCAAATCCTTCCAGGAACTAATAGTGCGTGGCGTCTTTGTCAAGTGTCGTCTCAAGTTCCGCGTCCTCGTTTTCCCGGAACTAGACGCTCGTAGAGTGTGAAGTTGGGCAAGGTTTTTTTAAAATTTGAGAAATAGAGGATATTACATGGGCGCAAGGAGATACGGATTTTATTGCAGAGCTTTGAAAAGATTTTCAAGACGAGAAAATAAAATTTCAATAGTGAAAGTAACAACTTTTCGAAAGAGAGAAGTATAGGGATTTCATCGAAGCCGATAAATATTATCATTCCATCAGTATTTATCCACCGGGAAGAGGAACCATGATTAATGTTACAACTTGTATGTCGAATATTTTAATTTCCATTGAACTTGTATTAACCATGCAACTTTAGACTAAACAACAACAAAAAACAACAATAGTGAAGAGAGGGAAAAAACTCGAGTCTGTGGAATCACGGCGAGACGACACATAGTATTTTTGTAATAATACAATATTCATATAAATGATTTTTAATAGTGTAATGACAGAAACGTATGTGACGTTTAAGAGACACTGTCATAATATTGCTTGTGAAACTACCAGAAATAGTAGAAGATAGTCTGGCTCATTTATTCAAAATATGCAACTTCGGTTGAATCTAAATAAAACGTAACACCGCATCATGTCTGGTTAATTTAAGGAAAAGAACACAGTCCCTGGTTAAAATCAGGCTACTAACTATACCCTTATATTACAGCTTCATTTGAACATGGTAGCCTTGGGTAGCCTGAAGCTTGATGGTGCCAGGAAGACAGCCCGCACAGTCGTGTTTTCCTTACCGGCATGAAAAAGGGTAAAAATTTTCATTCTCACTTAATTTCAAGATTTGAACATACAAGATGTTTTCGAAAGCCTTTCATAAATTCCCTTTTCTCGAAATTTCAAGATCCCATTTCCTCAAATTTTAAATCCCTGAAAATGCTGGTCTATCACTGCTGTGCCATTCCGGTTCCGGTTTGACTGTGGGGGTGAAAACCAGAGTACCTGGAGAAAAGGAACAGACTGAGGAAGAGAAGTGCATTTGCTATCGGAAATGTCCAACTTCTGTGCGTTCAAAAAATCATTTAAGAAATATCACTTGGCAAAAATCACATCAGAAATAATTTGTGTTCCTATAGATGTGATATCGTCCTTCGTAGTTCCTAAGATCGATGCTTCCTCTATACAAATAGATGTCTCTGTGTCTTGCTTTGATCTTTTCTACTTCGTCCTCATAAAACGTTATTTCCACAACAGACCGGATTTTCTTGTACAGGCCGTTGGTTACATGGATGCCTCCGTTTGTAAAGTTGTTCAAAGCTAAATACTTTGGGTTGCAGGATGGTCCTAGTGAAGTAAAATACACACCTGGAAGACAACAATACGCGATTTGCACTAAGTGATCACGTGATCTAATCCGCCATTGTGGCTGGTCGCGCGACTACTTTTCGGTATGACAAAAATGTAAACAAAGATGGCGGAGCCGGCTTTTTCGACTTCAAAACAAAGGTGAGTAATGCCATTTCTACGTAGTAACACACCTTTTCTTAGTAAAAATATACATTTAGTTGCTTTTTGCTGTTGATTTGTGCCTAGAAATCGAAATGTAAATTCAAAAAACAGAGTTTTTCTTGACATAAACGACGTGCATGTGTGAAGTTTAGATTTTATCACGACCGTCATTTTTCGTAACCTGACCTTAGTTAAGCGGGACTTTTGAAAAAAATCGCTTCAGTTTTGGACTTTTCTTAGTAGTTAATTAAAGAATATGTGTAAATACAACTATTTTGATGCGGTTTATTGTACTTTGACACATTATATCCTCATTTTACGACAGTGAAACTTTAAGTCTTGACACTATTCCTAAACTAACTTTCGCTGATGTCGAGTGCTACACAAAGAAACTGAGTT